ACAAGTCACTTCCTACTAACCTCTCTTTCATGAAATGCTGATCTTCTTTCTACAACAAGGCTGGGCGTTCTCACGTCATGCTCCACAATGAGCCCATTAAAACTTCCCAATGTCACAACATCTCCATTCCACGCCAGTGCACTCACTCTTCCTGACTGGACTTCCATCATTTTAATGGGTTTCCTTGCCGCAGTGTCCCAGATTTGCACGATACCATCATCTGTCCCCACAGCTAGCAGATTTCCCTATAAAGGAAACACAAAATTAAAAATAACGTCCAGTAGCAAGAATCCCAGCCTGCCTTACATTATATCGGAAGTGTTAATGCATGCAAGCCATTCAGCAACAGTAAGCAGTGGCTTTCTACAGCTGCTGCAGAATTCTCTGTCTTTTAGGGCTACCTTTTGCTTCATTAATCTGGGTGACATTTCCCCAACTTAATCTGGATTTGCTTATACACACAAATAAAGGTGAACAGCAATTTGCTGAATCAGATCCATCCATGGATCCAGTGCGGGGGGAAGTGGAAGCAGATGGGAGACTGCAGCATTAGCGTAAAAATAACTTCTTACTTCTGTCTCCTTAATATTTGGGGAGGGGCAGGGGTTTCCAATGGGGGCAATTACAAAAGTGAAAAAGTATCAGATAAATACATATATAAAGCATAACTTGGCTTTATTCGACACCGGCTGCAGCAGGTAACTTACAATTTCACACCTGTACCAAACTAAGAACATAAGCAATAATCATAATCAAATTTAAGAGAGCCACAGTTTACTACCCTACATAAAGATAATAAGATGGAATTATGACTCACCTGCTCATTCCATGCAACTGAGGTTACAGAGTGGCCACTTTCAGATAGATCACACAACACTGAGACTTCCTCAGTGCGAGCAGACCAAATATATGAACGGCTTCTTAAGCCCAGGCTCAATATATTTTGTGATGACCAGTCAAGAGGATTGATGTAGAAATCATCCGCTAACATAGGGACATACAGCATCTGCATGAAAAAGAAGTAAACTGTCAATATCAACTGAAACTAACACCATCTCAGCCATGTCAGTTCTCATTACTCATTACAGGAAAACTGGACACGGGACTAAGCATGTGGTGTAGGCAAAGCCTTCATTTTGGGAATTCTGGAAACTTAAGGCAATGTGAACTATGTGTAACACCACAGTTAAAC